TAAACAGCACCCTAATTTAGTATCTTTAAATATGGAAATCTCACATAAGGGCACCAATTTTGGGAATCATCTACTAAACAGCTAAAAGATCAAAATTTTAAAAAGTCCTTTTCTTAATTTCAATTGTTTAGTAGATAAATCCCTTATTTGCTATCCTTATGTGAGATTGCAATATTTAAGGACACCAAATAAGGGATCTATCTACTAAACACATACACATTTATATACACACAATAACACGATAGATGTATGTCTGTGTGTGTATATCTGTTGTTATGTGTGTGCAAATATATATATATATATATATATATATATAGATACATGCACAATCAAAGACATAAACCCACATAACCACACACACAATCACAGACCTACACACACAATCACATACATAAACACACATAATCACAACACACGCTTAACCACAGAGATACACACAATCACACACATAATCACAGATATACACAAACACAATCACAGACCCACACACGTACAATCACAGACACATAATCACATACACATACATACACACATTTAATAATTAAAAGGTCCACCCAGCCTCCCTATCTTGCTCTAGAAGGGCTGGAGTGGATCCTCAGTCGCTGGTGGTCAGTGGTTGCTGTTGGGATCTCTGTGCTCTTCCTGCACAGGTCCCTCGCATGCCTTGTAACGACGCTGAGGCCGCGATTACATCATATTCAGACACTGTCAGACACAGTCAGATGCACACAGTAGCACACACATAGTCACTCGCACACAGTAACACATTTACAGGCAGACAGTCACACACAAAGTCACAGGCAGACAGTCACACAGGCAGTCACAGGTAGACAGTCACACAGGCAGACAGTCACACATACACACACAGTCACAGACATTCACACACACAATCACAGACAGACAGTCACACACACACACAACCACAGACAGCCATACAGACAATCACAGGCAGACAGTCACACACACACAGTCACAGACAGTCACACACACAATCACAGGCAATCACACACACACACACACAAACACACAATCACAGACAGGCACACACACAGTCACAGACAGTCTCACACACACACACACACACACACAGACAATCACAGGCAGACAGTCACACAGTCACAGACAGTCACACACACAATCACAGACAGTCACACACACACAAACACACAATCACAGACAGGCACACACACAGTCACACAGACAATCACAGGCAGACAGTCACACACACACACAATCACAGACAGTCACACAGACAGTCACAGGCAGACAGTCACAGGTAGACAGTCACAGGTAGACAGTCACACAGGCAGACAGTCACACATACACACCCAGTCACAGACAGTCACACACACAATCACAGACAGACAGTCACACACAAACACACACACAACCACAGACAGCCATACAGACAATCACAGGCAGACAGTCACACACACACAGTCACAGACAGTCACACACACAAACACACACACACACAATCACAGACAGGCACACACACAGTTACAGACAGTCACACACACACACACACACAGTCACACAGACAATCACAGGCAGACAGTCACACACACACAATCACAGACAGTTACACACACAGTCACAGGCAGACAGTCACACACAGTCACAGACAGTCATGCAGACAGCTACACACACACAATCACACACAGTCACACACACACAGTCACAGATAGTCAAACACACACACAGTCACACACACAGTCAAAGACAGTCACCCAGACAGACACAATCACAGTTACACACAGTAGACACTCTCTCTCACTTATAGTCAGCTTGGGCTGGAGGAGGAGTGGATTCAGTGAGTCCCTGGTGTGTTGGAGTTCCTGCTTCCCCTCTGTGTGCAGCTGTAAGAGGCTGCCTTTAGCTCCACCCCCACATCTGACTTGGCTCCGCCCCCATATCCTTTCCGGCCTTGCTCTCAACTCTCTGTGCAGACCTCCTGCTCCTGCTCCCAGCCCCTGCGTGTTTGAGCTGTGTCGGCTGCCCAGCGCCCCTGCTGCTATGGCGCCCTGTGCAGCCACAAAGTTCACAGAACCCCAAGCCTGGCCAGCCATGGTAGCACCCCCCCACCTGGTGGCACCCGGGGTGGACCGTCCCCCCCACGACCCTTAGTACGCCACTGGTGATAACAATCTGGTGTTAAGTGGCAGTGGCTAGCAGTGCGACACTGGACTAACTGTAAACAACAGAGGCACACTACAATGAGTTAAACAGGCTAACTACCACTTAAGGTTTATGTAAATGCCAATGTGTGAGTAGCTAGGCAATACAAACAATTTTTACTGCTTTTCTCTTTGCACGTAACTGAGCAAAAAATTCCCTTAAAAAGCTTTTCTTTCTACAAACAATTAAAAACATAAAGTAAAAAGCTTGCAAAAAAAACAAAAACAAATGGCATTCGCCCATCTCCCACTCAAAGTTGTTCTAATTGCTACTGACTAGTAGTTAGGTGGGTAGACATAGACGTACATGAGTACCTTACACCGAGTCTCACACTAAGATCAATGATACAATGGCAATCTCCTATCTCCCACTTAAAGTTGTTGTGCCCCTGACATTATCTATCTAGGAAGAAACAGCAGCAACCTAAACGTACTCTCACACAAGCATCAATGACCAAGGCTATATCCCACTATACACACAGCTATAGCAAGGGTAAAAACACACAGTATCACTGCTGGTCTGTGTCCCTGAAGAGCTGCCGTCAATTTGTCTAGAAGAAACCTGCTTCCAAGTACAGATTGCTTTACAGGTCCTCCTTTTTCCCTTTGTTGTTGTCACTTGATCTGTGAATAAAATCAATATTTAATGGTTGTCCACTAATCATCAATCATCTTTTTTTCTACCTCTTTATTGGACAGAATATCTAGCCCACATGACTGGGTAGTTATTTTGTCCATCACGGCCAACAAAGCTGCTCATTTGCCTCCAGCAAAAAAGCACAGTCTCTTCTCCATTCCATTCCTCTTTTTTGGTGCTACGAACAGCATTCCAACTCATAAACTGAAACGAGCATCAGATGTCTTAAAAGATGGAGATGGGCCCCCGGTGTGGATTGTATGGTCTCTTACTGTCAGGTAAATATATCTAATTAATCATAATTGCTATTTCACCATATATTGGCTCATATCATGTATCACAAAGAAAAAACAAACATATCTTCGTATATGGAAAACACATTAACCAAGTATGTTTGCTAAGATAACATTGAGGTTGTTTGAGTGAACATTTTGAGCAAGCACTAGAAATGATTCCTGAATACTTCACGTTTGCCTTACAGATAATAAAATGACACTACAAATGCATAACGATACCTGCTGACCTACTGATTTATTTATCTTTTTATGACAAGGGAAAGTCCTGCAAATATTGGAAAGATAGGGTTATTTACTAAAGTCATCTTTCAAAGTGACTTTAAAGGGAATTTCTAATTCCAGTTCAGAGTAGCTGAAGTGAAAGCATTGTTGACTCCGAGAATTTTTCCAGGGTGATTATTTAATCTTCGAAATTCACTTTGAATTCTCTCTTTAGTAAATAACCCTGCCAATGGCAAGCTGATACTGTATCTGTCAAGATACACCATGTGTCTGGTCTTGGTTTATTGGACAGTCCACGGCATGTTGATGTTCGATTAAACGTTTTTGTATTGATTTTAGTAGTAACTGTGATTTCATTTACAAACACAGTCTAACTACCTGCAACTACAATTGTCAGGACTTGTCGCTTTCGTATCCACCACTACAGAGGAGGCCGGGAGAATGTAATTCTCCCTGGCAGAGAGCAAAAGAATGGAGATAAACACTACAGCTTAAAGAAGTATTGACCAAAAAAAGAGGATAGATTTGGAAAGGGAAGTAGAGGTATCTAAATTATCTGAGCTACAGATTGCAAGAAGAGGTACGGAACAGTCATTTCCAGAAATGAAGTTCCATAGTCCACAGAGTTGTCAGGTGGTCAAGTAACCAATGAACAAACATGGGATAAGAAAGGCAGGTTGCAAAAACAGAAAAGCAGGAATGGTCCAATAAGATAACGTTTGGTAGATTATTCTTCAGGTGCAGGGAAGCTAGAATATATCAGTGTCTAGAAGCGGCCAAGGGGCATTTTAGAAGGTAATGTTAGGGTGACATATGTAAAGAATCCTAGATATCTAAGCTTACATTGAATCAATATGATGGACTCTCGCCACCACTCTCACCACCATATATTCAAGAATTGTGACCCCATGGGCTCAGCATTCATAACAACTTATTATAATAATATTGTAAAGCATTGCAGAATAAGTTGGCGCTATATAAATGATAATATTAATAATGTCACATACCTTACAAGTGTCCCTTTTTAGGAGGGGCTGTCCCTATTTTAAACCCAAATCTCTCATCCCCCTTTTCTGTCCTAATGTCTCTCTTTTCTAGTAGCTCCATATTGTTGGTGTATCTGAGTGTATAACAAGCACAGCAGCAATAATACTGACAGTACTGTGTCTTTAAACTACAATAAAAGTGTTTAGAAATCAGTCTGCATACATTAGATACATTGTTCTTGTTCTAAATTACATTTTAGTTGCATAAGTTATTAGTAAGTCCCCTAATATTTCTCAGAACAGTCCTGTCCCTGGCCACACCCACACTCACACCCATAAAAGTGTCCGCTTTGTCCATTTGAAATGTTGTGAGGTATGATGTCAGGCAACAGCGATGATGAGTATTAGAGGCTCGACTTACATAACAAACAATCTATATCCACAAACAATGTACAAACGAGAATACAGGATTACTTTGGTGAGAGAAAAGCTATAATTAGTTAAACAGAAATTTGTTGACAGCGAGTGTGGGAGAGGCGGTAGCCTTTGCCGAATTGCCAGATGGGCTGTGCCTTTTACCCTCCAATTATAGGCAAGTGTTTGAAATGTTTCGTATGTCAGACTTCATTGTTAATTTAGGCATTCAGTGAATTCATATGCTGATGTTTATGCATTATATATACACTGAACAAAATTATAAACACAACACTTTTGTTTTTTCCCCCATTTTTCATGAATTGAACTCAAAGATCTAAGACTTTTTCTATGTACACAAAAGGCCTATTTCTCTCAAATATTGTTCACAAACCTGTCTAAATCTGTGTTAGTGAGCACTTCTCCTTTGTGAGATAATCCGTCCACCTCACAGGTGTGGCATATCAAGATGCTTATTAGACAGCATGATTATTGCACAGGTGTGCCTTAGGCTGGCCACAAGAAAAGGCCTCTCTAAAATGTGCAGTTGTATCACACAGCACAATGCCACATATGTCGCAAGTTTTGAGGGAGCCTGCAATTGGCATGCTGACTGCAGGAATGTCCACCAGAGCTGTTGCCTGTGAATTGAATGTTCATTTCTCTGCCATAAGCCGTCTCCAAAAGCGTTTCAGAGAATTTGGCAGTACATACAACCGGGCCTCACAACCGCAGACCACGTGTAACCACACCAGCCCAGGACCTCCATATACAGCATCTTCACCTGCAAGATCATCTGAGACCAGCTATTCGGACAGCTGCTGCAACAATCGGTTTGCATAAACAAAAAATTTCTGTACAAGCTGTTAGAAACCGTCTCAGGGAAACTCATCTGTATGCTTGTTGTCCTCAATGGGATCTCAACCTGACTGCAGTTCGTCGTGTGTGGGCAAATGTTCACATTCAATGACGTCTGGCACTTTGGAGAGGTGTTCTCTTCACGGATGAATTCCGGCTTTCAATGTACAGGGCAGATGGCAGACAGCATGTATGGTGTTGTGTGGGTGAGTATGGGCAGGCATGTGTTATGGACAACAAACACAGGTACATTTATTGATGGCATTTTAAATGCACAGAGATACCATGACGAGATCCTGAGGTCCATTGTAGTGCCATTCATCCACGACCATCACCTCATGTTGCAGCATGATAATGCACTGCCCCATTTTGCAAGAAGCCAGTTCTTGCATGGCTAGCATGTTCACCGGATATGTTACTCATTGAGCATGTTTGGGATGCTCTGGATTGGCATGTACAACCGCGTGTTCCATGTCCTGCCAATATACAGCAACTTTGCACAGCCATTGAAAAGGAGTGGACTAACATTCCACAGGCCACAATCAACAACCTGATCAACTCTATGTGAAGGAGATGTGTTGCACTGTGTGAGGCAAATGGTGGTCACACCAGATACTGACTGGTTTTCGCCCCCCCCCCCCACCCCGGACCCATCCAATACAGTAAAACTGCACATTTTAGAGTGGCCTTTTATTGTGGCCAGCCTAAGACACACCTGTGTAATAATCATGCAGTCTTGATATGCCACACCTGTGAGGTGGATGGATTATCTCAGCAAAGGAGTAGTGCTCACTAACACAGATTTAGACAGATTTGTGAACAATATTTGAGAGAAATTGGCCTTTTGTGTACATAGAAAAAGTCTTAGATCTTTATATAGTCCATCTATATATATATTATGTGAAAAAAAATAAACCAAGCATTAATTTGTAGGATCTCCTGTTTCTTGTAGAAATTCCTCTGAGTGCCATAAAATAACATTAAAACAACTATAACAAAATGTTAAAATGTTGAGCGCATTACCTCTAGAGATGCATTCCAAACTTGTTTTCTTGTTGTAACAAGATGGACTGTAATATCTGAAGTTTCCATCTATGCCTAATTCATTATGTTTAAGTGCTTACAGAATAATGTACAAATACATTCCGCATGTTTCATATCTTTGATTCTGTAG